TTCTCTCTCCACCTGAGACTGTTATAAAATAAACATTTTAGGTTACTTTAACAAATTTCCAGAAGGATACAAATTAACATCCAGAATGTATAAGGGATGAGTTTATGGAGGAGGTAATTGTGAGGATTATTTTGATGAGTCATGACTGTGACAGAATAGAGGATTGTATAGTTATTCATCAAGAAGAGTATGCAGCATGTCAGAGTAAAGAGCATTTATAATGAAATAAATAGAAAAAATAAGTTGAAAACAAGCTAGAAAACTTTTCCAGGTGTAGGAGAAACAAGTCTTGTCTTAGTGGATTTAAAAAACAAAAGAGGAGGTAGTGATTTTGATTGCTAGCTCTGAAAGGTCACTATGCTGCAGGAGAATGTGTTGGAGAAAAAGCAGAAATGATAGTAGGGGAAAATCAAGCTTTCGAGTCAGCATCCTGAATAAAGCAAAAGGAGCAGTAGAGCCCAGGGAAGAAAGCATGGAGCCAGCAAGTGTTTTAGTACTTCAATGTGGAGTAGTGGGTTTGTGTAGAGCAAAAAACTCAACTAGTGACTAGAAACTGATGGGGAGAAAATAAAGGGAATTGGAAAGTGGACTCACTTATGATATGATCTCAACAGCTGTATTTTGCATCACCTGGAAAGAGGTGCTGCAGGTATTTTAAGTGGGAGAATGCTAAATGACAGTAAAAAGCATGGAAAATTCAGATTTCTTGTCTACCATCTCACTATGTAAAAACAGAGAGAAGGGGATGGCTCTTTAAGGATTGTTATTGAGTGTTCAGTGTGGGAAGGGAGGAGGGGGATGGAGACTGTCAAGGTGATGGAGGTAATTTCCAGAGGGCTGCCTGGCTGTGTCTGATGTGTTGTATAACCTCAGGCATTTCATTTACTAGGTTACTTGTTATGTGTCTGTATAAAAGTTGTTGTATTGGCTCTGTTGCCATAAAGTAAGATTTGTTCTGGGCATTTTTGTTATCTCTTATTTTAACATGGAGTCAAAAAGGCTTTACTATGTTACGAGGTATTTCCTTCCAATAAGCACACAATATTATGCTTCAGTTTCAAATGCACTTCGATTTTCAGCAGAAGATGGTTTTCCTAAGTGACCAAAAAAAACCACAAAAACCAGCCCTTTATTATTTCTTTTTGTATCTACTCATGAATGATTTATTGTTTCAGAAACAAAAGCACATAAAGCATGAGCTGTTTGGGTGGTTTTGTTTTGTTTTTTAATTAACATCTGTTAAACCAAGGTAGAATTCTCCTCTAAACACTACTCTTGTCACTACAGATGATGAACCAAGCTATCTTTAGTTCTCTGAAAATACGTGTGCTGTATTTTTGTTATGTATACATCTACGCTTTTTCTGTAAAAAGGACAATAAATCAAAATCATTCAGCATTCTTTGTATTTGAAATAAAGCCAGACTACAATTTTGTGCTGTGGCCTTGGCAGCAGATGGAGTGCAGTGTGCACTCCAAAGCCTTTGCTATATGCAGTGTGCAAGTTTCTTGGCAACACTTGAAGATTTGGCAAGATAGAGCAACTTGAAATATCACCGGATGTACTGGAATGTATATTTACTCCATATATCTACAGTAATATGAATATGATGCACCTTAAATAGCCTTTAATCAGCCACTATGCTTCTACTAGCTGCTGAGCAAAGCAGTGGTGATAAAAATGTTTTCAGCACATAGTGGAAGATGTATGGTAATAGCAGTCAGCTCTGAGAATCTATTTCATTAAATTTTCTGGGGACACATTTTACATGTTGTCCCATTGTGCTTCAGCAGTGAGAGGATGAGTCCATACATTAGGTGCTGCTTCTTTGGGTAGGTGGCAACTTTTAGGCATAAAACTGAATTAATTGGACAGCACATCTTTTACTTTGATTGCTCTTAGCCTGCCCTGTGAAGAAAGGAGAGATTTACCTTACCTATTAGACCAAAATACTAAAATTTGCAGTGGAAAAACATACAACTTTGTGGGGCTTCTGACTGGTATATACTTTCAAGTGCCAATCCACTGCTGATTTTTAGGCTTGGATGGTAATACAAAGAGAGGAGTTTATCTTGCAACACCACTAGGCTTCCAAATGTTTGAGCCTCAGTATGTCATGTCTCTCAGGTGACTGAGTTAGAATCACGGAATAATTTTGACCAGAAGGGACATCCAGAGGTTATCAAGTCCAACGCCTGACCCAAACCAGAACCATCTCCAATTGAATCTTGAACACCTCTACGGATGGAGATTTTAAAACCTCTCTGGACAGCATCTTCCAGTGTTTGACCACCCTTGTGGTAAAAAAAAAAAAAAGAAAAAAATTATTTACCTAGATGATGGGGCAGAGGGCACCCTCAGCAGGTTTGCAGATGACACAAAACTTGGGAGGAGTGGCTATGATGCCAGAGAGTCATGCTACCATCCAGAGACCTAAACAGGCTGGAGAAATGGGCTGGTAGGAAACTCATGCAGTTTAACAAGGGGAAGTGCAAAGCCTTGAAGCTGGAGAGGAACAACCCCAGGTACTAGTACATGCTGGAGGCCACCCAGCTGGAAAGCAGCTTGGCAGAAAAGTACCTGAGGGTCCTGGTGTACACCAGATTGATTGAACATGAGCCAGCAATGTGCCCTTGTGGCAAAGAAGGCTAATGATATCCTAGGTTGTGCTAGGAGTGTTGCTAGCAGGTTGAAGGGAGGTCTCTCTACTGGTAAGGTCACACCTGGAGTCCTGTGTCCAGTTCTCAGAGAGCCATGGACATACTGGAGAGAGTCCGGTGAAGGTGGTGAAGGGACTTGGATCATCCTTCCTATGGGGATAGGTTGAGAGAGCTGGGATTGTTCAGCCTGGAGAAAAGAAGTCTTAGGGGTAGGATCTCTTTCTATATATAAATACCTGAAGGTGCAAAGAGGGTGGAGCCAGGCTCTTTTCAGTGGTGCAGAGTGACAGGACAAGAAGCAGTGGGCCCAAACCAAAACATGAGATGTTCTCTCTGAACATCAGGAAATGCTTTTTCACTGTGACCAAACACTGGCACAGGTTGCCCAGATTTTCGTCCTTAGAGATGCTACCTGGATATGGTGCTGGGCAGCTGGCCCTGCTTGAGCGAGGAGGGTGGACCAGATGACTTTCAGAAGTCCATTCCAAACTCAACTGTTCTGTGATTCCTGCTAGTCCATTTCTCTGTCTTGTTCAGGCTTTTCTAAATGGTAGCTCTCCTCTCTAGTGTATTTAGCATTCCCTCCTCTTAGGTGCTACATGTACAGTTTTTGAAAGTGCATTCACTACTATCATCCAAAACATTAACAAAGAAACTAAGTAGTATGGGTTTCAAAGAGACTAACGCATCCAGGAACATTCATAGTCTGGGTATGAGGATGCTGGAGCTGCTGCTTATGCCAGGGAAAAGCAATGCTAAAACTTGCAACATAGAGTCATATACTCCCTAGACTTCCAGACATCTGGTTCCCTTGATCACTCCTATCCAAGTATTCCTTCTCCTGAAACAGGATGTCCTGCAACATGATTTGTCAAGAACCCTAGGGCTTCTAATTTCCTTCATCTGAGAAGGTGAAGGTAGTTTCTGCACCAGTCCCTCTCTTGGCTTCAGAGTGGCAGTCTCAGCTGTACTAAGGAATGCTTTGAAAGGAGCATGTAGTTTGGGTTTGAATTTGGATGTACTGGGAAGCTCTCAAGTGACTCAAAGTTGAGTCACTCAATCTCGACATCAGAAATTTCTTGTCCCCTGAGGGACCCTCACAGAGATTTATTTCATGCTTCACATGAGAAGATGGTGGAACCAGAAATCTGGCTGACAGGTTTTCTTTTTCAGTTGAGCCTGTGTTGTGTTTTGTGGATATAAGTAATAAAAGCTCAGCACAACAGAAAGGCTTTTTCCCCAGGTTATTGTTCTCACATACCTCAGACAGCAAGTATGTGCATTCAGATGGAAGCCTACCACACTGAGGTAATTTTATCTTCAAGTCATTTGCATTGAAACTGAATGGTAGCTTTCCCTAAAACACAGAAATCTAAAATGTAAAATTTACTCTCTAAAATATCTAAACTTACATGCAAATGAGTAAATATGCTCCATTTGGATTGTGGGGGGAGGTATCTTTTTAAACTTCTGCAGGAAAGATGCTCTGGAGCAAAAGTATCTGTATTAGCAGCTAGTTTGGGAAAATAAAAATGTTTGAATTGGATAATAAATTTAGTGGTAAATTTTCTCTGAATATTTGGTGAGAGCTTAACTTTTCTAAGAAGTACTCAGATATCAGCCACAGTGGTAATACGGAAAAGGTAACTTGTGAGGAATATGTCAGTTGCCTTGATTTTTTAAAGTAACAGACACTCAGCTACTCTCTGCTAAGAACCATGCTGAAACACCTGTTTGAAAGGGATTTACTGGAATGCCCTCATTTTAAATGCTAAAAAACTATTTTGAAGGGAAAGGTGTCTAAAAGCAGTTTGCTCAGATACTGAATTATATTATCCTTAACTTGATTGAATAAATAGAGAAAACTTCAGTAGATAATGTTTGAAAATATAAGTATGAAAATAAAAAATGTAAGCTGCTTTGCGAATGTCACTGGTACGTAATAGCTCTGCTAAAATAACAGCAGCCTGTGAAAGCATGGCACTTTTATTTGTAGCATAATTAATGTTTTCTGGAGGCTGGCCACCTGAGCTCTACAGGATCACGCTGGCTTAGAATATATATACAGTGGTATCATATAGACATGGCATAGTTTGGGAGGGTTTTTAATTAGAATTGTGGGTAAATTTTGCATTATTTTATATGCTATAAGAGTAGACTGTCCTGTTGACTTGTTCTTCTAACTTATTCAGGAATCTGAAGCTTTGTTCCTCAAGGCAATTAAAGCCAATCCAAATGCTGCCAGTTATCATGGTAATTTGGGTAAGAGCCCTTCTAACTCTTATCAGCTGTATTGTTTGTTTGCTTCATATTCATTGTGTTTAAAAAGAAAAAGCAATCTTTTGAGCCTTCTTCCTGCTGGGCAGATTTCTGTTTCGCTTCCTAGAAAAACTGCCAGCCAGAAGAACAGGGCACTAAACCAGAAAAGCTGTCGCATGATATGACAGATCGAGAGAGCTGCACAATCCAGCCCAGAGGTAGCTGCACTTGAGCATCTGCAAATTGGTTCATTTATGCTATGCTTGTAACCCGCAATGAGCTCACCAGATAAGAGCTGCCATTTATGGCTGCAGTGTAATTCATTCCTTTACCATTCCCATGCCAGTTCTGCTCCCAGGCTTTGCTCCTGCATTTGGCAACAGAACAAGCAGCTACTGTGCCACCAGCCAGCGAGAGACCCTCACCGCAAACAAATGCTTTCATGTTGTTTTCCAAGTGATTGGCAAGATTGCACATTATTCAACAATATTGCTAATGAAATTCCTCCTTGATGTTCCAGCTGTGCTTTATCATCGCTGGGGGAATCTTGACTTAGCAAAGAAGCACTATGAAGTCTCTCTGAAGCTTGATCCTATGGCACCGGGGACCAAGGAAAACTACAACCTCTTAAGAAGAAAACTGGAGCAATTGCAAAAGAAAGGCGGTGCCTGATGTTTCTTTTCAGGTTGTCCGTGCATGCTGTTTATGATTAATGTCACATGGGTACTTTTGACCATGTAAAGGATTCAGTCTCAAAAATAGTACCACCACCAGCAATGCACACTTGAATGTCTGATTATGCCCTCCTACAGATCCTAACATTTCAGCTGCAGTTTGGGAGATCATTTTATTTTTACTCTTGAACTGCTTTTAAAGCCCCTTAGAACATTTTTATAGGTATATGAAAGCAATGCAGATGGAATTTCACAGCTTTCTCTTGTAATTTGATATCTTCATCTGACTTTTTAGTTGCAGGATGAATATCGGATGGCAGTTTTATTTCTAAAAGTGATTCTAAAAAAAGTGCAATTTCCTGTTTAAATCCTGACCTGTTCAAGTGCAAAGAATATCTGTCCACTTCAGCTTTATTACTGCCTTCCACTGCCAGTCCTGCAGAGCCAGAGGAAGAATGGATTCTCTCCAGCACATCAGTCTACTCTCATAATTTGCATTATGCTCTTGTTCTCGTTTCTGGCTCCACCCTTTGAAATGTCAGACTTGTACAGTAGTAAATGAGGACAAGGATTTGATCATAAACATTTGTCAGGCAGCATACTGCTGAGGTATGCTTGAGTGGAGAAGGCACTCTTGGATTAAGACAGAGATTTTAGCAAGCAGCAAAGGGAAAAGAAGTGTGAGGTGACAGATGAGTCAGCTAGTTTCTGTTCTCGCAGGCAGCCTCATCTAGCACAGACAACGTGGGCAACAGGTCAGAATTGGTTTAGGTCCTGCCAGAGGTCTGAATACCATATAGCGTCTACAGGAGCTAGTTCCTGTGTTCTCAGGCATTTCAGTCCTTTCTTGTTAAGGACATTACACATTTCAGCTCCTGTGTTGCAGGTGAGTAAGGAGAGAATTTCTGTAAAAACGTAACTGGGCAGAGCACCTGACCTTGGCTGTCGATGTATTAACTAGAAGGAACTCTGATTCACCTTTGTCTCTTCATGTGTTTGCTGAAGTGGCAGTTAGATAAGCAAAGCTGTTAACGCATAAACTAACCACATTGATGTGGGTTGATTCAGAGATGGTACAGTGATATAAGTCACTTTTCAAAATGTGCTGTGTTTTAATACACACTTAAACTTGGGCTGTCCAGAGGTGTTTGTCTTGTGTTAAAATTTGCATTCTTGCTTCAGGAAGAAGTCACATCTATTTTTTGTTGTTGTCGTTTTGTCTTTTTCTTTAAGATTGCAAGATTGCTATTGGATGTGAAAACTGAGCAACTTTGTCTCTCTTTTCATATTCCTTTATCCTTTCCCTCTGTTGCCTCATAGGAAAAAATAATCTATGTGGTATTTGCAGCTTTCCTAATTTGTCCAATGATTATTGTGTAGAGATTGTGGAATGTTCTCCATACACAATGCACCTATGTGTGAAACCATTTAAGGTATAGAGGGAATGCCTGCTGTAGGACTGGGTGTCGTGTAGCCTTGCCATCTGACCATCATGTGACCATTCTACATCCGTGCTATGTTTTGAACCTAGGCTACTTCTACATTACAAATTTGCTTGGAAATTGCAGTTCTTGAAAGTTGTTTCAAGAACCAAGTGTGCTCACAGAGCCAGTTGCAATACTGCCGAGCTACCAAAGCATCCTCTGACAAAGCTAGTTTGCATACAAGTAGTGCAGCTACTTTAGTGTAATATTCTTGCCAGACTAACTATAAATCTAGCCAGCAAGGCTGTGGCAGTGTGGTGCTGTCCACAAATTTGGCTTTGAATGACTTCGTACACCCACATTATTACATTGTATGTTGCCATACTGATTTTAGTTGAGGTACCAGAGGCATGTATTTGTGCTAGTGCAGCGCTGCTCTCCTGCGAATATAGCCTGTTTCTCAGCAGGACAAATTAATTCTTACAGGGTACTAAGTTGATGCAGTTGTTTCTATTTTTTCTGGTTTGCAGGATATAAATGTGTTCTTTGATATGTATCTGTACTGATTAAGCAAAATGCTGCACCAGTATGGCTGCTCATTTTCTAATGACCAGCACAGTTTAGTCAGCACCAACTTTTGCATCTGAAACATGCTGAAATGGATATACTTCGCAGTACAAACAGCAGACTTTTAAGGCCTTCCATACATAGCCTGTGATTCATCAGCTATAGAGAACACCTAGCTACTTCATTCATGAGAAGAGTTAGGATCTGGCTGGATGAACTGGTTTATAGCAGAAGATAATTGTGTTTACTGTAATCAGGTCTGTTCTGTATATTTGGAATATGACATACTGAGTTTAAATTATTATTCTCATCATGAAGTTCACATGTACAGTTTGTTGCCTGCCATAATACCTTTACAGAAATCCTCTAGATCAATATGACGTACCGGGTATGAATTCTCTCTAGGTCATTATGAACCAAAGTCGTTGTAGGAACTCCTCTGTGGAAGTCAGTCTGTGCTTTTACTCAAGAGCCTTAGACAGATGACACATGCCAACAAATGGGGTGCTTTGTTGGTATTTGAAAATGGTGTTTACTTTTCAATACAGACATGAGTTCTTCTTGATTAGTTTTCTGGCTACCTGTATATATTTTTGTGAGGGTTTATTTGTTTTATATCATTTCAGTGCTACAGAAATTCAATGTGATTATTTGTATGATGGTAATAAGAAGGATACACTTATGTTTGGGCATAATGTTGGAACAGAATTGGGTTCAGAAGAAGCAAAAAAACAAGACTGCTTTTTTAATAAAAAATTACTTAAGACTTTCAAGAATGCTAAATATTTTTTTACTTTATTTTCAGAAACATTTTGAGAGTGCAAATAATACAATGAGTTTTATTAAAATGGTCATAATGTTAACTTTTTGCTTGTTTTTTCATACCTCTTAACTGATGCCTGAGATAGTGCAGAACACACAACCTGGAAGAGAGAACGGTGAAGAAAAAGTGGTTTTGTACATAACTGTTTGTAAAAACATTTTTCCAGCATGCTGGAGTTTTTTCCCCATATCACTTTCCCACCATTGCTAATTACAGAAGATTAGCTTCCTTCATATCAGCTGGCCTGCTTGATTCTGTAGTGAAATTAAGAAACCTGAATACATTTATTTTTTTTCAAAGATTGCCTGTTTGAATACAGTTCTGAGGAGAGAAATACAGAGTGATTCAATGCACAGAATGAAGTCAGAAAAATATTCACAATGACTGCTATGAATCTCAGTCTCTTCACCAAAAACTTCCAAGGGAGTTCTCTAATTGTATGTTTCTCTTATGTTTAGACCAATGCTGTGTACATGAAGTTTCCTGTTATTCAATGTCATACTTAGGGTTTAAACTTTAGAGACGTGGGTTGTGTGTTTTTATGAGCACTCAGAAATAAAAATCTTCAATACTTTTGAATGGTTTGTTAAAAATATTGGGCCTTTTCACTGGGAACTTGTTTCCTTCATATTTGAGATACCTGTATCTGAGCTATTTGTTCTAGTTTCTCCTTATAGTCACTGGGGAAAAAAATACAGCTAATCAGAAATATGATTCATCTCCTAAATAAAGCATCTTCAGGACGTGAGGCATCATGTACTTGAAGCAGGTATTCCTCTTCAGTAACTTCAAAGGGTAACTAAGGTGATCAGCTCATATGTATGAAGAAAATCTCACTGCTGCTTTCAGCTGAGGTAATCTGGTCCCATACACCCCAAGCATTCTTGTACATTATCTGCACCAAGAATATTGGAAGACTGGCATTGAAGCAAATTGGCAGGTACTTGCCTTGAGAGTCAGAGAGCTATAGTTGGATGAGGGAATGGGATGAGAGAGAATTAAGAGAGCTTTCTGCAGATACTTAAATTTGTATGGCTCATAAAGTGTCTGAATGACAAGTCTCTGCCTATGGAAGCAGAACATTCAGGTCCAGTTCGATCCATTATTAGCTTGTCTATCATCACAATAAATGGCAACAACTTCTTATTGAATTGACTTTTGGTGTCTGTTACTTTATTTCAAAAGCAATTCAAAGCAACTGTAAACTTGCAAAGGTGAGATTTTTTTCTTCAATTGAAGTTTCTCTTTCAAGCTGTAGCTGTTAAATGCAGTAGCATAGCCCATTTCTATATGGTGGGGTTTTTTAATTTAAAAATATTTTTATTTATTTGCTGGTTCCTGCTTGTGCTTCACATCTCATGTGAGCATAGGTATATTGACAGACCTATCATTACATGCAGATTCCCACATGATCCTTGTCTTGGCCCTTTCACTGAGTAGTGCTTCCTTCCACTGCTCTTGGTATGTCTCTACCAAATGTGTGTTTATGAGAGCATGTTTAACTCAAACAGACTAAAATTTGCTAGAAACAAAAGTGAGATCGCCCATTTGAGTTCCTGCAATATAAACACTGAGGGAGTCAAACTTCTGTCATATACCACAGTAAGCAGCAGGAACTGCTCGTAACAGCCACTTCAGACTGTGCTGGGCTCTGCAATAATGTGGAGTAGTTGTACATAGGTGTCATGTTATAAATGCAGCAACTGAAATCCTGTGCTTTAAGGAAAAAGGACTGTATAGCCACCCAGAAGAGGAGGATGTGCATAGCTGCATGGGCGGCTAAGCACTGGAGGACTATTACCTTTGTATTAGGAAGCTGCACTGCAGTAGCATGGCATGGGTGTTCAGTGCCTGTCAGCGGTGATTCCTGTCAAGTGGTTTGGGGCTTTGTAAAATAAGTATTTTTGTTAGGAAAAAAATCCCTGCAGATATTGAAGTTGGTAGCTTGTGATTGCTGAGTTGAACTGGTTTTTAATGTAGTGTTAATCATTTAGATTGCCAATGGTACGTTCTGATTTATTTTCAGCTGAGCAAGAAGTAAATACATTTGTAATGGAGCCACGTAATAAATCTGCATTTTGCTATGTTTTTGCATAGATTTTAATTGTGATAATGGTGTTTATTTTTGTAGAAAAGTTTTTGATTTGGGGTTCTGCTATAAGCTAGGAAGAAAATCTAATGGGC